GGGCTTTCGAAATACGCCTCCATACCTAAACCAAGAGGTCCCGCACACAAATAGTCATAAACATGAAGCTTTTGTTAATTTTAAAAGCTCATGACCAAATTCTCCAATATCTGTGCTGGTTTTAATCGAATCTGATTTTTGATAGGAAGGTTTCAGAGAGAAATATTGATAAACTACTGAGATTCCAGTCGAGATTTCGATTATGGACTCGAAATTTACTCGGAAAAAGAAGTCGATAATCGAAATTTCTTTTGTAATCAAAAGGGTACAGAGAGAAATGGAAGGTTAATACAATTTTATTGTGTAATTACATGATTAAGTCACCGGTGACCGGTGGAGGGAGCAGCGGAGAGGATGACGTCGGAGGAGAGGAGAGAAGGGGAGAGGAAGAGGAGAGGGAGAGAGAGAGAGAGAACATATCTATAAAAATTCATATTCTCCATAATTTTTATTTTTCCATTGATCTCAATGTGCATACCAAACGACTGTTATTACCAGACAAAGGGACCTCGACAGCCTTCCATCCTAAGTCTTGCGTCCCATAACCGGTGAATTAGTCCTCAAATATACATTGAAAAGACACCTTTTTATTCAACTCGACTTGATGTTCACTTCAATCATATCATCGTCTTCCATGCCGAGGCCGACTGGGGTATCATCTGGCCCGACTTTATCCCCATCAAAAACGAAAACCAAACTCTTGGGGTCGATTTTAAGTTTGTTTGAGTACATTTTGAAAAGTCGCTCGAACTTGTCATCCTGTAAAAACATTCAAATTTTAGATATGGAACACATGGTGAAAAAAGTGGTTGCAATAATTTCAAAATCATCTCAAACATGCTTGAAATACTGAGGGCCTATAGCGGCGCTCCCGTGCCGAAGGCAATGACAAAAGAAAGCTAATTTCAACAACAATCTAACTGATATGATGACAGAAAATATGAAGATCAGGGAGACTCTTCTGAAGTAATTCAATCAAATAATGTCTGAACTACCATCACCAATGGAGACTCGTAACACTTTCATCATAGTCTAAATGAGTATGAATCATAGAAAGTACAATAATTCAAAGAACAGAACACTAATGTAACAAAAGTAATGAATAACATCTCGGTTCAAATCTAATGATCACCCCACAATGGGGAGTTAAGCCAATCATAACGTGGAAAGGAAAGACAAAAAAATCAAATTAAAGGGTACATGCGGCTCATGACTATTGACAATTATACAGTAACCAAGTCATGAACCCAGATACTAAAGGAACTACCTCTCCCAAGATGGGAATTTAAAGGACGAAGTTCAAATTTGTTCACCTTTTTTTTTTTTTTTTAAATCAATGTTTCAAGATTAGCTGATGTATAATATGAACCATGATACGTATGTTAAGCAATCTACCATAGTTCACCAAATTCATTCATTTCCCTACATATGATTCTAAACATGCCAACCAGATTATTGGGCAAATTAAAGGCATCTTGAGAGTACATCAAAAACAGCTATAGCAAATCATGAGGAATGTTGACAAAACAGGATGGTTGTTGTACTTGAAGAATGCAAGTCTGAATTGTGGATAACATGGAATCATGCACAAGAACATACCACAAACAGGCGAAACTGTTGGAGCTCTTCCTTGTCACTATCTCGTACAGAAATAACAATCTTTTCTCTTTCTTTAGAAGCAATTGGAGCTTGGTCATCCAAAGCAGGCTCCAGGGAGACTTGGGGCGTGTTTTCAACATCCACTCTTGCAGATTCCTCCACTTCTCGCAACAAGTTTTTAGCCGATAGAGCAACCGAGGCCAACTCTTGCTTCTTTAACCTATAAGTGCAGATTACATATGATATGCCAAGGCAAAATGGCAAGAGACATGCCATAGAATCCTATGCAGAGAAAAAAAAATAAGGGTTTTTTTGGTAGACAATCTCGATTCTGCTTCATGTTTTTCAATTCACCGAGTCTAGTGAGTGTATGCATTTGGCGTATGTGTTTTCGAAAATTGTTTCCCAACTAGGTAATAAAAAAATTTGAAAAACAACTTTTTTGTGTTTTCACTGTATCCAGATTTTGAATTTGAAAATTTAAAATGCAAAATTATATTAAAAAAGATAAAACTTAAGAAAATATACTATTTCATATTATAAACTCAATTTATTTTTGTTAAATTAAAATACATATATTATAAATTGTATGATATTGCAAAATAATGATTATACAAAATTTATAAATAAAAAATCAATTAATAGTGATTTATATTCAACCTAATATTCAGTTCTGTAACTACAACTAGTTCCATATTATAGAGCAGATTTTGAATTATTGTTCAAATTGGAATTCAATTTCAAAATCAGCTATCAAACATATATCTGAATACAACCCTATTTTCGTTGAATCCCTTGTTTATAAAATTCATTGCCAAGACTGCCTACTAAACAAGCCCTAAGGTTTCCATGTTGAAATAAAAGTGAATTAATCAAGCAATAGATGCATGTTACTAGGATGGAATACCTTAACTTCTTCAATGTCGAATCTTCCCCACACATATCTTTTGCATCAACAGACACCTTCGGTGGAGGGGGCAGCCAATCTTCCTCTTTATCTTCAATTTCCACAAATGGATTTTCCACAAAATTCGTAACCTAAATATTGATTGAAAGGAAAGAATCACATAAAACTAGCTTTACTGACTGTTCCAACGAACATTAATCCTCTGCTAACAGAAAGTCTGCAATTTCACTACATGAAGGTAATTATATACCGCTGAATTTGAAATCTTCGTTCGCTTTGAAAAAGGTACACGAGACTCCTCTACGTCCGAATCCTCGTCTGATTTTAGTCCAAGCAGAAGAAAAATAAAACACCAGGTTACCAACCATGACTACGAGCACAAGGAAAATCAATTTCGAAATTTATCTCTGAAGCGACAGTTATAAAAACTTCAAAAACACAGTGAAATGGAAGATTCCAACTTCATGAAATTCAAATTTAACTTAAGCTTGAGAACGATTACCATCGAGACAAACAACAGAGTGAGGCTGAACGCGGCTGTAATCGAACAAGGGCTCAAATTCCTCAGCGGAATCCGCCTGAAAATAAGAACTCAAAAGTAAGAATCACGAAGTGTGTTGGGAAAACCATGAGTAGTAATGATACATAAAAGAATTCCGTGCCGATAAAATTAAAGAAAGAAGGAGACTCGCCATTGTCAAAGACCTCGAAATCTAAACTCTTCCTTTTCTTCTCCGATCAATCTTCGTCCTAGCCGGCCGGGAAATTCAAATCGACTGTCCGTTTCCCGTCGAAGCGTTACCTAGCCACTCCTTACTGAATTTCTCTTTTCGTATTAACGGGTCGGTCGGCTTTATATACCCAAATAGTTTTAGCGGGTTCGGGTCGACCCAGTTTGTCTGCCGCCGCCCGATTAAATGTAAATAAATGTAATAAATAGGATACAAATTAGTTTGAACGGAAGGATATCGTTAATTTTTTTAAAAAAATTTCTTACAATTAAATATATAAATATTTTTATTTTTATTTTATTTCATTCCATAATTAATTTTTAATTATTTTCTCAGACCATTATTAAAAATAAAATTTAATATTAAAAAAAAGAAAATAGACACATTTTAATTTTATTACAAACAAATTTAAATAAATGACTCGAATGAGTTGAACCTATCCAACTTAAATGTTTCAACCTAACCCATAAACATCCCACTTCATCTTTATCTCGACCATCTTTACCCTGAGTGCCTATTATTTAAAGTGTGTATTTACGTGTATAGTCCACTTTATTTGGCATGTTCATTGAAATTTAGTATGAACTTTTAGAGATTTGGCATGTGAGATCCTACCTCGGTTAAAGAGTGAAACGAAGCATTTCTTATGAGGGTGTGGAAACTTCTTAATAAACGCGTTTTAAATCCATGAGGCTGACGACGATACTCATCGGACAATATGCAGTTCGCTTAGCAGAAGCTAACTTCGAAGAGTTACCTTCATGACAAACATATTAGGCTCTTCAAATTATTGCTCTAACATGGCAGACAACCTGCGACAATTACAAGTACTCATGTGCTTGAATGGTCCTATACTGCCTTCTCAATATGTTGAAAATATTTAGGCATCTTCAAAATCGTCCTATGCCTTGAGGTCGAGTGGAAAAATGAGAACTGAGAAGAGAGTCCAACGGAAAATAAAGAGGCAATCAACGTCGACGTTTGATGACACACAGAGACGAACTGAGAAGTCGAATGACTATACATAGAGAGAAGTCGAGAGGAGTTGAACAACGAACGATGCGATGAGAGTGTGTGAGACTGCGAGTTCGAGAGTCGAGACTTCATTTCACTTACCCTGTTCCCCTCGAGGTCGAAGATGAACGTTGCATGAGACAGCAAGACAAAGTCTCAGACTCACGGTCAAAGAGCAGAGAGCCAGTAGAGTACAAACGCGCCAAGAGCAAATGATGATTCATGGGCTTGGGTTGAGTGGGCTTGGGCCTTTTCTTCTTTTTCTTTTAAGGTTTTCGGGTTGGATCGGGTTGACCCAATAATTTGAATTTCGTATCCGAACTCAATCCGAACCGGATCAAGTTCCAAAAAACGAACCCAACCTAAACCTAAAATCCTTTTAAATTCAACCGAATCCTTATAATTCGGGTTGGATTCTCGGGATAGCGGGTTGGATGTACACCCATTTGATGAGAGATGGGTTATTATACAAAGGATATATTCTCAATAAGCTTTAAAACTACAATACAGGAAAAAGATGATGAACAAAGTTTGAATATATATTAAATACAATACCAGAGTAACTACAACATACGTTCTTTTTCTATACTTCCTAAACATTAGTGGTGTACATCCAACATCCGACAACCCGGACCAACCCAACTCGAAATATAGGAGTTAGGGTTGGGTTATTTTTCCTAAACTCGAATTAACTCGGTTTGATTCGATTTCGAGTTCATAGGACAAAAACCTCGAGTAAATTCAAGCCCTATTGCTAATCTAAAAAAAAAATCTTACTATCATTGTTCAAAAGAAGGGAGTACCATTTGCATAGTGTACAGTTTCAAGTTGGTATGTTAGTTACAGGCCCTTTGAACCAATGTTGAGCATTCAAGATCCAGGTAGAAATGGTAACGATCAACATGCAGCCAACGGCGACAGGGGTGTAGTTGAGAGTCTCGTTCGTAATCGGGTACTCGACAGGTAACGAAAAGAGAACCGAAATTGTCGTCACCCAAAGAACTGCTACCCAACCAACGAAGATCCCATAGCTACCCAAGTTGAAAGGTCCTGGCACAAAGGATCTCCTTGCCAAAGTCACCCTAAAAAATATGGGCAAGGCATATGCAATGTACAGACCAATTGTTGCTATAGAGACCATGGCGTTAAAGGCCACTGTGCTTCCAAGAGACTGCAATAAGTTAACGAGAAGTATAAATACACCCTCCTCCTGCATATGAAGGGCATTGTTCCCTTTGTGGCAATAACATTAACAATTCAGACAAACTAAACTGAAAAGGTTGATTTTCGTGCTCGCAAACTCCGTATATCCATCAAGCTACCATTAAAATTTACTAAAAATGTGATATCCCATATTGGTTGGAGAGGAGAATGAAACACCCTTTATAAGGATGTGGAAACCTTTCCCTAACATACGGGAGGGTGTGGAAACCTTTCCCTAGCATACGGGCTTAAAGCCTTGAGGGGAAACCCGAAAGGAAAAGTTCAAAGAGGACAATATTTGCAAGCGGTGTGCTTGGGCTGTATTAGGCGTGATTGCGGTATTGAAACAAGATTATGATGTAGTGAAACAAATGGAGTTATATAGTAATTTAATGCAAATGTTCGTACCGTTAATGCCATGCAAAACGATATTAAAGCGGAGAGCCAAACTGCGTTTATGGGGACCTCGTTTCCGTTCACTTTATGCCATGTTGACGATAATGGCATCGCTCCATCTCTGGAGAATGCGTAAACCATCCTATGAAGAAAAATTATACGAAATATGAAACCGTGAGCCAAAAACACATACATTGTGTTTAAAAGACGAACAGTTAGTCAGCTTGCCTGGAGTTACTAGTGACAGAGCTCATTCCACAGAAGAAAATCGCGACAGCTACCACACCTAAGCACATAATTCCTCCAACTCCATTCCCATATCTGCTCTTGAATGCTTGGTAAAATATTTCAGCAATGGCATAACCTCCAGAATCATTGTTTTTATCCAAAAGGTTCGGGATGTTGGTAACGGCGAAGGTGATGCCGACTATGTAACACCAACCAACAACAATTGATATCCCAATAGAACTAATAATTCCCCTCGGTCCGTTCTTATCTGCTTCTATCGTTTCTTCTGTCTGTAATGTCGTACGAAGATGCAAATTACATTGCAAGTTATCTAACAGTTATGCATAAACCGAGGTGGAGGAGAACATACCATATGAGCAGAAGCGTCATACCCAGTTAGAGTATATTGACTCATCAGAAGTCCCAAAACAAATATGTAAAGTTTACTGTTAATTCCTTCGCCGTTATCGGCATTGAAATGAGTGAAGACAAACTCGGGGCTGGCCCTTTCCGTTGCCACCAAGGGAACGAGAAATGTAAGAAGAAAAACACCTAAGAATTCGACATCCTGTTAGAAATGTAAGCTCATGAAGAGCTCAAAGAAAGAGAAACTTGAACCTTCATACCTAAAAAGTTCCATGCTGCAGCAAACTGTCCAAAGAAAGACAACCATGAAATGGGCAGGCTGTTCATGATAGCATGTACCAACAAAATTCCACCATGGAAAATAATCACTACATATTTAGATGCCTCATATCCTCCATTGTTTATACCCCCTGTGCTAAGCAGAACTATCACTTGAATTAGCTGAGCAAGTGAATAATCAATACTTGTTGTGACAGCCCACTGCATACAGATCACTTCCACGAGTTAGAGAATATTAAACGAAAAGCTTAACCTGGTTATAAGAATTTGAACTTTGAGCATAAGATCTTTAGAAGAACCTGTCCAACAATGTTAAACCTGTGCAAAGATTAAAGTTGTTTGCAAGAAATCAGAACATGTTAAGATGGAATGGAATACACAAATGCAAGGAAAATAACGTAATTGGAGTTTCTCGAGACGAGCAATAACGAACAATAACGAACAAGAAAATCAAGTTCCTAAGCTTCATAAAACTTCAAAAGATTTAAAGAACAAGCAAGGAGCAGGGGAGAAATGTTCTTCAAATTATTCCACCATGTACATATTTTCATTTGATCAAATAGAAAGCTTTGAAACTTGTTAAATCCAAATCTTGTGCAACTCTCAAACAAATCTACCAATACCAAGGACTAAGAAATGGTAGATAATTGATCCATAACTAATATAATGTTATAATTTGAGCATCCAGTGACCTGAAAAGAAGAAGAAGAAGAAATGATTACCAGCCAGTCATCCAAGAGGCAAAAGGAGCCCAACTTGGACCAGCAAGCTTGGCACTCCAATAGTAGAGACCTCCAGAAGTAGGATACGAAGAACAGATCTCAGCCATGGACAATCCAACACACATAGTGAAAACACCAGCAATCAACCATCCATAAACCAACGAAACAGGGCCACCAAAATTCAGCCCATTATTGTAAAGAGTAGTAATACCAGTAAGCACCGAGATAATCGAAAACGAAAACGCAAAATTAGAAAACACCCTGCAATTAAAGCAACGATTGAAGCGATTCAGATTCATAATGCACAAACAGCAAAAACATCACAATCACAAGAAACACAAACTAAACCATTCATGAAACTTACGAGAGGTCGCGCTTGAGTTCTTGTTTGTATCCAAGCTCATTAAGACGAGAATGACCAGTATCAAGCAAAACATCGCCGTTTGAAGCCAGCATAGCAGGAAGAACTCGGAAAAAGAGAGACGAAAGGTGGATCAATCAAATGAGTTCTCCCACTTCAAGCTTACTCGTTGAATCTGAAGAAGAACATATTAAGAGGATATTTTGCCGTGATAATTAGTTAGAATATATCTCAGATATTTAGGGAGTTGTTAGTATAGATTTTATTAACCGTATATTTTATTTATTTACCAAATTTAGTTAGATATATATTTTTTCTATTTTTAGGTATTAGTTGATAGTTTGTATCCTATTTAAACGTGGTAAACCTGAATGAAGATCATACTTTCGATCCCAATTCTATTTCTATTTCTCATTCTTAACATGGTATCAGAGCACCGATCTTGGTGTTCTTAAATATCAAAATTTCCTTTATGGCGGAATCAGCCAAATCCAGCTTCAAAATTTCGGATGTTGATTTAACACATCCGTACTATATTCATCACTCTGATCAGCCAGGATATTCACTTGTTCCAATCAAATTAAATGGAGCAAATTACCAATCCTGGAGTAAATCAGTTATGCATGCTCTTATTGCCAAGAAGAAAATTGGCTTCATTGATGGCACAATTGAGGAACCGTCCCAAGATGCAAATTCAACCGAATTCGAACTCTGGAATCAGTGCAACAGTATGATAATATCTTGGTTAACTCATTCCGTTGAAGCAGATATCGCTAAAGGCATTATTCACGCCAAGACAGCTCATCAAGTGTGGGTTGATCTTCACGATCAATTCTCACAAAAGAATGCTCCAGCAATTTTTCAAATACAAAACTCGATAGCAACGATGTCACAAGGAACCATGGCGCTGTCAACATATTTCACCAAGCTCAAAGCACTTTGGGATGAACTGGAAGCATACCGCACACCATTTACCTGTAATCAACGTCAAATACATATTGACCAACGCGAAGAAGACAAGTTGATGCAATTGCTCATGGGGCTTAATCAGTCTTATAAAACGGTGAGATCTAACATATTGATGATGTCTCCATTACCTAATGTGAGGCAAGCCTATTCATTACTTGTACAAGAAGAGATGCAGCGTCAGGTAACTTCCGAACCTACTGAGAATTTCTCGATTGCATCAGCAGTGCAAAAGAAAACAATATATTCAAAATTCGCCAAGGACAAAAAGTGTGAACACTGCAATAAAAGTGGTCATACAATCAATGAGTGTCGAATTCTTAAGTTTCACTGTAACTTTTGTGATAGAAGGGGCCATACAGAAGATCGGTGTCGACAGAAAAATAATTCTGGAAGGACAAGACAAGACAATCAACACAATAACCGTGGATATCGATCATCTGCAAATATGGCCGATGTTTCACAGTTGAATACAGAAGAACAGTCACCTAATTCCATTCCAAATTTTTCTTCTGAGCAATTACGAGAGATAGCACAAGCCTTATCTGCAATCAATCATCACCCTTCTGGTAATTCTGACAATCACGTCAATGTTGCAGGTTTGTTTCCCATATCTACATTATCTATTAACTCTGCGAGTTCTAATTCATGGATTCTCGATAGTGGAGCTACGGATCATATAGTATCAAAATCTTCTGTTATGACTGAACCAAAGGCTGCCATCATGTCTGCAATAAATTTGCCTAATGGAGAGACAGCACGTGTGTCACATACTGGCAATATTTCCCTTAGCCCTAACCTTCAATTAAACAACGTTTTATGTGTGCCTTCATTCAATTTAAACCTAATGTCGATCAGCAAACTTACCAATAACTTGAAATGTTATGTCACCTTCTATCCTGATTCTTGTGTTATGCAGGACTTGGCTACGGGGAAGATGATTGGCTCGGGTAAACAATTTGGAGGTCTCTATCATATTTCTTCATCTCCAATCAAATCTTCAGCTCATCAAGTATCTCAGTCATCTGATTTGTGGCATTTACGCCTAGGTCATCCTTCCTTTTCTCGTTTTAAATTTCTAGCTGATCAATTGCATCTTAATAATGCGAGTTATTCTCATAATTGTAGTATCTGCCCGTTAGCAAAACAAACTAGGTTGTCTTTCCCAAGAAGTTCAATAACAACCCATTCTGCTTTTGATCTGATACATTGTGATGTTTGGGGACCACATAAAATTCCTACCCATTCTGGTTTGCGTTTTTTTCTCACTATTGTTGATGATTTTACTCGATGTACTTGGGTTTTTTTAATGCAACATAAGTCAGAAGTACATCATTTGTTAATGAACTTTGTTAAATTCGTTCAAACTCAATTTCATACTACTATCAAGATAGTTCGATCAGACAATGGGACTGAATTCCTATCTTTGCAACCATTCTTTACTTCTTGTGGTATTGAATTTCAGCGCACTTGTGTCTATACTCCACAACAAAATGGAGTCGTAGAACGCAAGCATCGCCATATCCTAAATGTAGCTAGGTCTCTTCTTTTTCAGTCACAGGTTCCACTTAATTTTTGGGGAGAGTGCATTTTAACGGCTGTTTATCTTATAAATAGAACGCCATCACCATTATTATCTAACAAGACACCCTTTGAAGCACTCTACAAACGACCACCTACATTTCACCATCTTAAAGTTTTTGGTTGTAAATGTTATGCAACTATAGTACATCCTAAGCAAAAATTTGAACCTAGGGCAACTCCTTGTGTTTTCGTAGGATATCCTTGTGGTCATAAAGGATACAAGTTGTATGACATGCAATCTCACAAATTCTTTATCAGCCGTGATGTCAAATTTTGTGAAGATGATTTTCCTTTTTCATCAGCTTCACAAACTTCGACATTAGCTCCTTCGACTCCTGTTGTACCACTTCATGATCCATCCTACTCAAACATCCATCCTCCACCTTCTATTCCTTCACCTCATCCTCCTCCTTCACCTCCTATTCCTTCACCTCCTACTCCTCCTTCACCTCCTATCCCTTCACCTACTACTCCGTCGTCTCCTCCACCTTCTCCAGATTCGCCCACTAATTCCAATCCTATCCCACCTGATACATCAGCTCCACTTCGACGTTCTACTCGTACTAAACAGCCTCCAGCTTGGCATAAGGATTATGAGATGTCTTCTGGAGCCAATCATTTAACCTCTAGCTCAAGTCCCGGCACTGGCACCAGGTATCCCCTTCATCATTACCTTTCATTCTCTCGTTTTTCTCCTACTCAACGTGCTTTTCTAGCTCTTATTACATCCCAGACAGAACCTAAAACCTATGACGAGGCAGTTGGCGACCCGTTATGGCAGCAGGCTATGAATGATGAAATTGCAGCTTTGGAACGTAATCATACATGGTCTCTCGTTCCTCTACCACTTGGTCATAAAGCTATTGGTTGTCGTTGGGTGTACAAAATTAAATACAACTCTGATGGTTCTGTTGAACGTTATAAAGCTCGACTAGTAGCAAAAGGATACACTCAGGTTGAAGGTATTGATTACACAGAAACATTTTCCCCTACAGCGAAACTTACTACACTTCGTTGCTTACTCACTGTTGCTGCTGCTCGAAAATGGTTCACCCATCAGTTGGATGTTCAAAATGCCTTTCTCCATGGTAATCTAGACGAGGAAGTTTATATGTCTTTACCACCAGGTCTTCGCCGACAGGGGGAGAATACAGTATGTCGGCTCCATAAATCTCTCTATGGATTAAAACAGGCTTCTCGCAATTGGTTCTCCATATTTTCTACAACTATACAAAATGCAGGCTACACTCAGTCCAAAGCAGATTACTCTTTGTTTACTAAGAGTAAAGGTACTTCTTTCACTGCAGTTCTAATCTATGTTGATGATATTCTGTTGACAGGCAATGATCTCGAAGAAATTCAATATCTCAAGACTAGTTTACTCCAGAAATTTCTTATCAA